TTCAAAATGCAGAATGTCAAAATGATGCTATGCAAGTGTGTAAGGATAAAATCTATGGATCGGGGAGAGAGGGAGGAGTCTTACTCTTTGGGTCTTTCGGTAAAGTCATGTTCTGTTGCGATCGAAGCGTCGTGATTTTTTACTTATTATTTTTCTATCTACGTGACTTTACCGAAAGACCCAAAGAGTATGAATTCCTGCAGTCACGAAAGCTTCAAGTCAAGGGAGGAGTCTCTCAGCAGCAGCAGAGGGCGTGCTCAACCCAGGGGGAGGTGCCAGAGGAAATACTGAGAGCTAGGATTGGTCGACTTGGTTCAAAGGAAAAAACATGCGGGAAAGTGGAAGAAGGGGGAGGAGACAGTGGGGAGTCGGTTGTGGGGCAGAGAGATGGGATTGGTGGCTGGGGGCTTGTGAGTCAGAGGGCGAAATTGAACCTTAGGGCCCTTCCATTTAGTAGGTTCGCAACAATCTGTCAAAACTTGACCCCTCCCTCCCTTCCTGTACGCACGCGAACTTCTTACACCCCCCCCGCCCACCTGAGTAGGTACGCCTGACGCACCCCCCCCCCCCTGAATCTTATAGAACGGCGATATTTAAACCACGCAGAAACGACCAAAGATTAATAATATTAACGTGTTTAAGTAACCAGACAGTCCACCGCCGGCTGCATTAAAGAATTAAGTTGCGTGCCTAGGCCACTTAATTTGCTGAGCTGCGTGACAGCTGCAGTCAGGGGCACGGTGGCACACGAGTGACGCCTCTCCCACAGTACCACTTCTCCCGGCAGTACTTGGTCTGACTTGTGGCTCATTTGAAGGCCAATGTCGACAAATTATGATCGAGGCTTCACCCCCCCCCCCCTCCGTTTCCCATGCGTACGCACATTGTCAGTAGACTCCCCATACGCAAGCTACGCGTTTGGGTTAACCCCTCCTCCATGTGTACGTACTGAATGGATGGCTCCTTAGGGTCCCGTCAAAATCGTAATTAATTTGTGGTGACTCCGTCCCACCGCGCACATCAACGCCGCGACCCACTTGGCGCGAATCGTTCCGTTGTCGTGTCGTCCAAGCGCAGCAGCGGCGAGGGCGAATGCCGTCGTCATGAACAAAACTTTGATTAGCGCATCGTGTCGAGCTCGTCCAGAGGAATAGATCGCCGTGTCGTTCCTCTTCAAAAGACATAAAACGATGGGACCCCGGGGTCACGCCATAAGGCTCAATAAAGATCTTAATTTTGGAGCTTTCGTGACTGCAGGAATTATTCTTTGGTTCTTTCGGTTAAGTCACGTCTAAAGATAAAATAATAAAATAAATAATAGCATATTACGACGTTTCGATTGCAACACAAGCAATCATCATCAGGCATTAAATAAATAGCAACAAAAATCTAACTAGAAAACTATAGACAGACATACAAGCAACAGACATCACAAGGACACACAATAAAGATCCTCACATCCAACGTAGGTGCACAGAGTCCTTCTACAGAAGATGGTGGTCATAAACTAAACTCAACAATTCTTATTTCACCAGGCAAGGCCCCCACTGAGCTATACAGCTGTTTTTCAGAAGTGACCTGGCCACAAATCAGTAATAGCTCACCGAAGTGGCTTATTACATGGAAATTTATAGCAGCAACATACTCCAAATATATCCGAGGGAAAACCCGGATTACCCGAACAAAAATCCACGCGACCACGGGGCAGAACACACAAAACTCCAAATATGCAGCAGGCGTCAGGGTCGGCATCAAGCCCACGGACCTGCATACCTGGCGAGGCAGTTAACGCCTCGCCACCACCGTGGCTCCACGGACATTGTGTGAGCAACAATTCATTTGAAGCTGGCTGCCTGCTGTGTCCGTGAGCTGCCCCCACACGACCGATGATGATGTCCTTCAGCCACCACTCCTGGCGGGGGGAACTTGGCCACAATCCCGACGGCTCGTTTCCTCAACGCCGAAAAGGGAACGCGAAACCCGACGTGAACTGAACTGCAGGCGCGAGATTCACGCGCGGGTAAAATTCATCGACGGGGTGGCTCTATGTGCCTCTGCGGGCGCGTGGGAGCGGTGATGCCCTACATCAGTGACCGCGAGACAAATGTAGAAATTCCACATTTCCATGGCAGGGGCTCGTGCCTACCCCTCGGGACAACCGCTGTTGATTTCTCACAAAGCGACAGGGGTGCTAAGCCCCTTCAGCCCCCCCCCCACTCCTATTTAGTATCAGTCATTGTGGTATACAAGCTGTCTGCTATATTTGGAGGGGGGTGGGGGAGCTTCGCAAAACGCAAACATTTGGACGGTCTAAGCGATGGACGCGGTCGCCTTACCCCGTACACACACATGGGGGGGCTGAGAGCCAGAGTGGGATCGCGCGATAGACACAAAACGCTGATCGCGTTGTTACTCATTCTGTTTAGCGCTTAGCATTTGTTTAACGTTTGTTTAACATTGACCATGCCGTAACCCACCACCCTCCCCCCCTTGAGTTTACGTACCCCCCCACCACCCCTTTAAACAAGGCCATGCCGCAGGCAACTCGTTTTACGTTCCCCAGAGAGGTAACGACGGCAGGTACAGGCAGCCATCGACTTACGAACGCCCGACTTACGAACCAGCTTACATGAAATATTAGTTTGTTTTACATTGCCTTAAAAACGCGAACTCTCGCCTGCAAATTGAACGGCGGCACTATTTTTGTTCAGCTGTGGGATCCTCAGCGAGATGCTGGGAGTGAGTGTTTAGGCCGTAGCCATGGAGTCAACATTGGGGGGGACCAAATTTTTCAGGGGTTTGGGGGTCCCCCCCCCAGAAAAAAAAAATCTAAATTTGAAAACGAATTTCCTGCCTAAAATATGAAAAAAAATCACTAACACGTAGGATGGACTTTTGATGTATTTTTTACAATAATGTCTAATAGTGTATTGTATTACATTGCTTTATTTTTTTATTTTTTACCTTTTCTCGTTTCATTGTATGTAATGGCAGAGATAAGGGATTAATAAAGTACAACCATAACCACAATCATATAAACAGAAATCTATTTTATAGCAATATATATTATAATTACGGCCTTGGTTTGCATCTACGCGTATTTAAATATCCGCTAGATTGTCGTGTTCCGACTTACGAACCGTTCGCCTTACGAACGGGTCCCGGGAACGAATTGTGTTCGAAGTCGAGGACTGCCACTACAACCGACACCTGACCAGAAACTTGAACCCGCAGCCGTCTGATGGTGAGTCAAGCTCTGAAGGGCAGCCACCCCCCCCCCCCCCGTAGGGCTTCAACGGGAATGACGACCGAGGGCAAATGGGGGGGGGGAAAGCTTTAGCCGGACAGATAACTGATGAAAACATTAGGAGGCAATTAGGCAAGAGGGGCAAGCCGTGTCAGAGCGTGGGGAGGTGGTGTCGGTGGGGGTGGTGGGGACGCGAGGTGTGGGAATTGTAAACTCAATCTGAACGAGCGTGGAGGGAGACGCGGGCTTGCAGGGTTTTAGGGAGGGAGGGATGGGAGATGGGGGGGGGGGCAGGAAAGTGCTTCTGTGTCGTTTGTGGCGTCCCTGCCGCTGCCGGTGTTGTGGGAGCGCGGTGGAAACGTGCAAGATGGATGGGATGTTGTCGTGCAGCTGCAAGCCGTGAACGGTTTAGCATCCGCTTGGCATGCAGAGCCCGATAAAGCGTCCCTGCGGAGACTCGCCTGCACTAAGTCACCACAGATGCAATTTGTATTCGCAATGATGATTTACGGGTTTTTTTTATTCTGTAAATAAATAAACATCTTGATAAATACAGAAGCGCCGCGAAGACAAATACAAGCAACGGGTTTGGCTTGCGTGTTTTGTTGGCGAGTTTTGGTTTTTGTCACGGCGTCTGATTTGCATGTGTTACCATTGTAAATTGCTTCCTTTGTTTAACCCGGGCAAGGGAACATTCCAGGGGCAGTTCTCTCACGCAAAGGAGTAAAACTGATCGACAGTCGTCTCTCTGCTCGAACGAGTGTAGGGCAGTGCGCCCCGTCTCCTGTTTATGACCCAGAGCCCCTGGTGGAAATTCCACATTTCCATGGCCTTGAGAGAATGCCTTCAGAGCGGAACTTCTGTTGATCACGGCAGCGGTTGGCGTCGGGGGGCTGAGTGGACCATGATGGGAAGGTCGCGACTGGTGGAGTTTTCAACGTGACAGAGAACGTCAAGATATGCTTTAAAAACAGGCACACGTATTCCCTGAGCAGTTTTAACTCGTTTAGTTTCTTTATAATTGCCTCTAAAAAAATAACGCTTTCAAATTTAAACCGTGAAGGCTAATATTTCTCTTTGCATACATCATCTTAATTACATATTAAGATGATGACGGCTTCGGTTTTGTCACGGTATTGGTAACATTCATGGCTAAGGTGCAGGGGGTCAAACAATATTTCGTGATAAGGTCACGGGATTAAGAGGGGTTGTGACCCAAAATGACTGCAAATAAATAAATATCCATTTCTTAAATATATAAATGCAAAAAACCCTGTTAATAGCAATTTAAAGGTTAAAATAAAACGTCAACCAATTTGCGATTGTAAATAATTTTGCTTCATAGCTGAGTTTTGCGTTAGGCCTGGTTATTATCTGGCCAGCTCTGTGTCGTCAGGCGCTCCCCCACCCACCCGACATCAACACGAGTGAAGCTGCCGCGTGCTGAAAAGCAATTTTGACGAGCGACGACGTTTCGCTTGGAACTGCACCAAGCATCTGCAGGAAAATGCAGGAAGTCAGAATATCCTAAACAAATCACCCGATATTATGAACGATGATATTGACTTCAAAGACATACGTGTTAAGTCAAGCAATTTTATCGTAATTGATTTTGTTGTCGTAGTTTTAAACAGTGTCGGAACTGAGGGAAATGGTCGAAAGAGCTTTTTGCATAGGGATGGCCGTGTGACTTTGACATTGGCTTACACAGAGGCGGTTGAAGTAATTGTGACAATGCACCCGTTCATCTCAGATGCCATGCAGCTGGTGGCCGACCGTCTGGAGGGGCCTTTCAACATCGAGGCGGTGGTCGACCCCATAGACGTCAAGATCTCAGAGGCCATCATGAACATGCAGGAGAATGCAGTGCAGATCACCACCCAGGTGAGGCATCATCGTCGTCACCATCATCGTCGTCACCATCATCGTCATCATCAGCAACATCAGCAGCAACAATTATTGTCAGTGTCGGCATCATCATAATCATCAGAAATACTATCATCTCTCATCAGCAGCAGAATCATCATTATTGTCAGGATTATTCTTACATTAAAAAAGAGCACACTAATTAAACATATTAAATGTCTCAATGGAGGACCCTATTGCATATACATTTTTGACTCAACGAGGTTTTCCCAAATCAATAAATGTCATGATTATTAAGAATCATCAATGTCAACAGCACCGTCATTGGCATCATCTGTAGCAGCAACGGCAATCGTAGCAGTAGCAGAATGTTTGCAGTCGTAACTATCATCATTATCACTGCTGTCATCACCTACATCATCACTACCATTGTCAACACCAGTAATAACATGTATCAACACTTTACAGAATTGCACGTATGCCCTGTACACACACATTTGTTTACACGCACGTGTTAATATACACATGCAGCTCATTGACTCGCTTGGGCAATACCGGCGATGGTATTTGCACGGTGTTTGCGGTTTGCCTACGAACACCGCATATGCTGAAGGCGCTATCAATTAGAGCTGGACTGATGAGAATATAAGTGCTTTCGCAATTGCTCGAAGTGAAGCAATGCAAGGGAAATGCCCGGTAAGAGAAATGATGGGGGAACAATTGTAATTCTAGATTTGAAGCTTTCGTGACCTCAAGGATTCATATTCTTAGGTTTTTCGGTAAAGTCACGTAGGTAAAAAATAAATAATAAAATCTGATTGAAATAATAATAGAATCATAATATAAATAAAATAATACATCACGACGTTTCGGAGGCTCGTGTTGCCTCCGAAACGTCGTGATTTATTATTTTATTTATATTATTATTTAAATTATATTTTTATTCTTTTTACCTACGTGACTTTACCGAAAAACCTAAGCGCATGAACAATTGTAATGCAATCCAACGGTAATTTCCAACGTAGGCCCTCTTCGCCACCGTGACCGGGACACAATGAACGAAGCGTGGCAGGGCTCGAGTGGTGCGACGGTGCGTTACGGCGGCGCCCGGCGACGAACTCCGTCGCCGGCGAATCTGTGAACCGCCGGCATTATTGTAGAATAGTGCCGGGTGGAAAAAAAACACGAGTTTCAAACAAGAGCACGCAGGGATGTGCGCAAAAAAGCACGCAGTCTTTGCTCTTAAAAATAAGAAGCCGTATTTATTTATTTTCTACCCATCATCGCGCTTCGTCAGGAAACCCCGGACGGGTTTTTTCCGAACGCCGCCGGAGGCTGTGCGCATTTCCCAGACGAGCGCTTCGTGCGTTGATTAAAACTCAATTGGGGTGGGTGGTGGTCGCGCTCCGCAGGTGTTTGCGGGCTGCGGGCAGCCGAAGGTGAGCGCGGCCGGAGGGGGCGCTCGAGACGACGGGCCGGGCTCGCGGAGAGCGGCCCGTGGCACGGGGGACGCGCCGAGCCACCGCTTCCGAGGGTACAACCGGGACGCGCCGCGCCCCACCACCGCCGCCGGCACCAGCCTGGACCGCCTGGTGAGTCGGCCGTCTCGGTCGCTTGCGCGCGCCGGCACGCGTGTGCGTGTAGACGTTGTGGGGTTCCGAGGTTACGCACTCACGTGCGCGCATAAGTGCACACGCGAACACCTACAAACACAACGATACCCTCCCTCCCCCCGGCGCCAGTGCCGTTAGCAAGCGCCTATGAATGCATACGCGCACGCACACACGTTTTGCATCTATACATGGACGTACACATGCATGCTTCACGTACAAACCCACGCACACGTACACACACCCGTGCATATTTCAACGCATTCGCACGCATTAATAAGAAACAACACTCGTGACTAATTTGCGCGGCGCATGTTTGTAACCCTGTGTGAGAAGGTGGCAGTACAGCAAATAGGTTAATACGTAGGTGCGGGTTCTGTGCTACCACCGGGTTCCTGCCACACGTAAATATTAGGATTCGGTGAAACGTCTCAAATGTATTAGGAAGCCACTGGAGCTATGCACTTTTACGTCTAAATTGAAAACTCACTTCTTTCAAACTGCTTTTTGTGTGCAGGTTGTAGTCATTACCCTGCACCTCCGATTAGCATGGCTGGCTACGTACGGTGCGTAAGAAAATGAGCTCATAATATGCAAGGAGGCTTTCTTAGAGAGATTGCGCCGTTTTAAATGATAAATTGTAAGGAAATTCATTGTCACAAACTTTATAATCCGAATTTTTTTTTCTATTTCCTGTAATTACTCGTAAACGCCAGCGCTTAACTATTTATTGTATAATGCCACATGCTTCACCTAAAAGCCAGTTTTGAAACGGCACAAATATAAAAATGGGAAAATCAAACAAACCTCGAATTTTTCGGAATCATAAAAGGACTTGGCAATATCCGACGGCTTACAATTTAATATTTTGTCCGCCTCTAAAAATAAAGCAACAGACATGGAAAATAATAAAACGACAGAGATGAAATAATACACGAGCGTGTGATGTGTTTGGGGCCACATGTTTCCGTTAAATGGGGATTTGCGATGATGCTAACAATGATCTCTTGTCCTTCCCTTCTGCGACATTTGACTCCCATTTCAAATTTCTATCTTGGGGATTACCCTTCTGTCTCCACCACCCGCCACTCTCCCCGTATCCCTCCACCCCTCTGTCCCATTTTATCTTCCGCCCGCCCGCCTGCCCGCCCTCCCCATTATTTTTGTTGAGTTGTTTTTTATTTGGTTGAAATGTTCCCCTCCATTGCTCGCATCAGAGGAACAAGTGGAGAGAATTCCAGCAAGGCGTAAGAACATTCTTATTTGAATTTATCCATTGATGTGTTCTTTAAAAATGTGTCCTGACATTTACGCTGAGCTGTGCACGCTGTTTACTGTTGTACGCGTCTCAGTGCGGTCGTGGGGTGGCAAATGTTACGTTTTCACGGCTGGGCGCAGCGACGTGGCCCAGCGGCAAGCGCATTGGCCGTTTGTGGCAGAACGTTCGTGGTTCGAATCTGGTAAATACCACAGATGTATTAACTGTTAAATACATGCTGGCCGCTTTTGCGGCGGACGTTAAAGATCACGTGACGTCATTCGAAAAGAGGAGGCTGACGTCATGGCCCAAATTCGCCAAAGTTTGGAACATGACACAACAAAATACTCAAATGGAATCACGCACAGCGGCAGTCATCGCTGTCTACTGGCAGGCTAATGCCCGACTGTAGGCTGGTGCTGAGTCAACTTGCGCTGCACCAGGGACAGCTGCCACTGCGGGGGGGGGGGGGGTCCCCCTTCGAATGGTTGAGATGAGATGTGAGATGTAAGTTGCTTTGCGATGTTGAAGCATTCATGCAAACGCCACTCTACGTGCACGGAATGTCATGGTTATCTGCGTAGGTCATCCACTGGTGGCTTCCCGCACAGTGGCGCATCGGTTTTATTTACCCTGAAGAGATGATGAGTTGAGTTGTCCCATGACCGGGATTTGAACTCCAACATTAACATTTTGACAGCCCAGGAGCATCCAGGGAGCTTTGGAGGGCTGAGCCCCACACATGCCCCCCCCCGCCCCCCCACCCCCTCTGCTGAAGGCTCAGCCCTCTTTCTAAATTATTATGGTCAAGTCAAAAATGTCGGTACAATATTTAATCATATCGTTACTCGTTCTAATTGGTGTTAAAACACTCGATCAAGTTTATTCAACGAGGTCACGTGACAAGGCTGCTGTGTAAGCGGTTGGTTGGCAGGAAGGGGGGGACAGGGGGTGGGTTTCGCCCTGCTTCGGGCTCGTCAGTGAGTCGCGCTCGGCTACGGATTGTTGTCAACGCTCGTGCTGTCGTGGATGAGACCACGGCTGGGTGAAACATCATTGAGTTGCTTTCTTGATTGGTGACAAAAAAAGTTAAGTTCGTGTTTATAATCTAACGTGTTTAAAATGTTGGGTAACGCACGCTCGCGCTCTCCGTGTGTTCAAGGGATGCAGAAGTCAGAGTGCTGAGTTGGCATCCAGCTCGACTCCTGGGGTTGAACCCGGACAGCTGATGACCTCAGCCTGGTCACAATTGACTGCACAAAATAAGAGTCGTCGTTGTTAAATTTGGCTTTCACTTAATTTGGTTACATTCAATCTGTGAGCATCTTATAAAGTACGTGTGACTGGCGTGAGATGAGCATTTCTCTCTGGAGTAAGGTGTCCAGGGAAGTGCTGCCCTTTGTGTGGATTCGTGGTAACTTGGAGATATTTCAGAAGTAGTTCTGTCAGATCCACTTCCAGGTGCCATTCTCCAACACGCGGCGTGTGATGAGCTGCACCGGTAGAGTTTTCGAATGATATTCTCATATCACGAGTTGAAAAACGATGACGGGCAATCGCACAAATTGGGTTACGACACGGTGAGAGAGACAACGCAACGTATATGTATATTTGTGGCACGTGCGGGAACTGCACGCGCCGGTTTGCAACAGCAGCCGCTGTCGTACCGCATTGCGCCGTCCCTTTAAAGAGCGCCGTTGTACAAGTCCCCCGAGAGAAATCAAATTTTCCTTCATTAATCACTCGGCCCACTTGGGGAAGGTTTTCAAAGCGCACGGTTCATACTTTACCGTTCATACTTTACCGTTCATACTTTACTGGGGTTTATTGGAACGCAGGAAAAAACATTTTCCCGCTCCCGTCTGCTGTTTTTTCTGCCATGGCAGGAGGATGCCAATCGTCTGTAAAAATTTGCAGGCAGTAAAAAAAAACGAGACATTTTATTTTCACCGCGAGCATAAATTGCCAAACAAGTGTGATATATTTTAATGGAGATGAACGAGAGTTGCTTTTGTGTTTTCATCGATTTGCTGATTTATGCCCCCGAACCGTCGTCCCAGTGAGATTGATGCCGACATTGACAGCCCGAGTGGAATTTCACGTTCACCTCCCCGCCGCATTTGCCAAATAAGTGCTCCGATCGCCCCACCCACGACATCATCAACAACCACCGCCACCATCACCGCCAACATCACCGCCACCGCCACCATCACCGACAACATCACCGCCACCGCCACCATCACCGACAACATCACCGCCACCATCACCGACAACAACCACCACCACTATCACCGACAACACCACCGCCGCCGCCGCGATGTAACGCCGATGCGGTCATCGTGTTTGGTAAAAGATCGTTGTTGTGTGTACAGACCAATCCATTGCTGGACAAGGGCCTCCTCACGCTCTGCGGGCCGTGAGGGCTATTTGACCGTAGTTCACGCTGGTCAGGACCGGGTTGGTGAAGGCAGGGAGCCATAGAAGCACAGTGCAACAATTCGCTTTTTTTCTGCACTGCCCTCTGCTACCCACCAGATAGCACCTCAGCCTGTAACACCTGTTAGGCACGGTGGTGGGCCAAACCGAGGACTAGCCAGGCTCAAGTACCTGCTTAGCTTTGGACATCTCATGAGAGAGACAAATGCAAATGTGGATGTAGACGCGACACTGGCATCGCCATCCGTGAAGTCTCCCCGTGCCGCATCAGTCATGGGGGTTGTTGGACCATACTTCACCTCGCTGGACGGTGCCGGTTGGTGAATGGGGATGATGCCCAGGAGGGGTTCCCAAGGCAACCACCACTGACGTTAGCCGTGGCTGGGTAGTGAAACTCAGGTGGGCAGATTCACAGCGCAAGCGTGCGAACGAAGAACTGTGCCACTGCTACAGAATGAGAATATTTATTTATAACTGGGGGAGGAATCCGATGAGCTATGAAGCTCTTTTTCACAGATGTCCAGTAGGGGAGGGTAAGAGCGTTGCAACAACAAACGACACAAACACACGATAGCAGTGGAAAGTACAAGGAAGGTAAACAAATAACACAAACAAATACAACACTAAACCATCCACATCCTACCAGACAAAGCCCAGTGAGGTATGAACTTATTTTTCAGAAGCGACCTGGCCACAAAGGATAGCTCAACAAAGTGGCCCATCATTGGGACATTTCTAGCACCAAAATAATCTAAATAATCTGATAAGAGCTTCTAAAAGCACGTGTCCCAGCAGCTTGCAATGCCATAAGATAGATATCTGTGAATGTCCATGTGAAATGGCTGTATTTTGTCTAAATTATGGGCCAAAGCTGTATTTGACAATATAAATTGCACTGACATGAAGATGTGATGGGTCAGTTTAATATCAACGCGATGCTGTATGTGCACATTTGACTTTGCTCGCTGGGGTATTGAATCACTTGGGCAATTTTCTCTCCGGCTTCCAGATCCAGCTGATGTACCTGAGGCTTCAGGGAGTCGAAGGAGGAATGGCAGAGCATTAAACCCACACTTACAGCTCTGGCTCTTTTCAATACATGCAGTTTGGGACTTCTCTTAATTTCGTTGATATTCTGACTTTTTCTCAATAAAATAATTATACTTGCTACATATATTGAATTACCATGGGAAATTTTGATGATAATGCTGCTGCCGATGATGATGTTGCTGCTAATTCTCAATCTGCTGATAATGATGCTCTTGCCGATTATTATTATTATGCTGCTGATGATAATGCTGTTGCTGCTGATGATAATGCTGTTGCTAGTGATGATGCTGCTGCTACTGCCGCTAATGCTGCTATTGATGATGATGCGACTGCTAGTCATGAATGATGATGCTGCTGATGATTATGATGCTGCTGCTCCTGGCAATGCTACTGCTGCTGATGATGCTACTGCTCGTGATGATGATGCCGATTCTGATTACGATGCTACTGCTAGTGATGATGTTGCTGCTGATGGCGATGCTGCTGCTGCTGATGGTGATGTTGCCAATGGTGCTGCTGCTGATCATGCTGATGCTACTGCTTGTGATGATGCTGCTGCTGCTGCTGATGACAGCGATGGTTACAATGGTGACCACTGCAATACCCCTGCAGAAGACAAAACGCACAAACCCCTTCCACGCAAACCCACCAGGCAAGGTAGATGGGGGAAATGCTGAATTTAAACACAAACACTCATCCCGCTTTCAGCGCAATTACCAAACGGCTTAACGAACGCGAGCATTGCATTCCATCAGCGGCGAGCGTAATTTGATTTTGAAATTACCGTGTCATGGGCTACAGTCGCCCCAATCGGATGGTGCTTCAGTTAAACTCATTCCCATCCTCGGATTAATTAAAGCGTGCATCTGTTAAATAATGGCGTGCCGCTGAGCACTCCGCTCAAGAGTCTGGCTCCGTGCTGAATTTATAAACTATTTTTATTTCACCAGCTAAGGCCCACTGAGCTACGTGGCTCTTTTTCAGAAGCGACCTGGCCACAAATGATAGCTCAACGAAGTGGCTTATCGCGTGGAAATTTATAGCAGCCAAATACTCCAAACGCACGTTGAGGCCACATGTGGAGGGGAATACCAGAGGACCCGGGGAGAACACGCAAACTCCAAATATACAGCAGCAGGCGTCGGGATCGAACCCACGACCTCCTGTATACCAGGCGAGGTAGTTAACATCTCGTAGCAAAGCCTTTGAGGAGTGTAGCTGAACCCGTTCTATATTGCAAGCCTGCGCCAAGTTTGTGTTGAGCCACCAATCGTCAAGTTTATTTTGCTTAAGCAAGTGAGAACTCAAAAGACAAGGGAGAGTGTCGTTTATAAGAGGCACCTGGTGGGAGGGGGGGCGGCCACTAAAATGACAAAAGCCAAAATGTAAAATAAAGTACAATAGTGAATAAAACATAAATCAGTGCAAAAACAACTCTGCGTTGCAGAAGAAATCGAAGGCAGTGCGCAACCACTGAACAATGAATAATGTGCAGTACATTATTAATTGAAAAGAAACATTCCTTTGCAGTAGTTGACTCAGGCAAATTATCATTAAAATGTAAGCAATCATTCAGTGGCCGACAGCACCTGAATATATAGAGGCCCACAGACCTTAGGCAATTTTTGGTGCCAATACTGTGCAGTGCATTGCAAGTTGACGTTATTTTTAAAATACAGAAACGTCAACATGGATTGAGGGTGATTGTTGGACCGGTATGTAAACAGACAGGGAGATGTGTCGACTATAACTGCAAGTGCAATGACTATACAGCATCCACAGAGTTGAGCGTTGCTCGTAAATGATGAAAATATGTTGAACGTTATTGACATACGTACTGGATATATTTGTATGTACGCACGTACAACGGGAGGAGGGGAGAAGTGGAGCAGTTGGCGCGTTGTGTCAAAGAACTCGGCAACCTGAGTTCGATTCCCAGCCACGGCTACCATCAGTGGCAAGTGATATGTGAACCGGCCCAGAAAAGACAAAGAGCCCCCGTGTAGCCTTAACAGACTGTTGGGGCAAGTGCTGTTAGCGAGCAGCACCTATGAAGGCCGGAACGGCACACGAGGGGGTGGGGGGCCAGCACCACACCCGACCGCCTTTGTCTCCCCAGTGGCGATGTTTTTACACACCGCACCGGATACTCATTTGAGGTTGTGTCGACATAAGGTAAGGCCCATGGCCGGTTCAACTAATCGTCACCGGTGTTGGCCGGGAGCGGGAATCGAACTGGGGTGGCTGGGTTCGTAGCGCAGCGTAGCGCTAACCGCTGCGCCACCGCTGCCCACCACCCACCTCCTCACCCGCAATGGCCAGCGTTGGTGCAGTCCGGTGAAAACATCTGCCGTGTCTGACATGAAGTGAAGGGCGTTTCCTCTGGCAGTGGATCGACACAGGTCTGTCCATTGTCATTGTTATCACTGTATTCATGTGCACATTGAGTAAGTCTCTGGTCTATTCAGTGGCTGGACGTGTGATGACCTACCCATTTCCTCCACCCCCTATGATGATTCTATGCATTGCCGCGATTCAAGGTTAAAATTGAGGACGTGTGTTCTGGAAAACTGGAATAACCCACACACGCACACACACACATATATATAAATAAATATGTATTGTTTCATAAATTCATTCTGGCTTCATTGGCACACGTTACAATCCACGTTTGATCATTTTCACCGTATCCTTACCCCACAGATGGCCCACACAATGAACTTAATAAAAAAAATTCTGTATCCACATAATCCGTCTAATCTCGACAAAATCCTGGCTTGTGGAGAATGACACTTTGTGGATTATGAAGTTTTTCCAGTGTGGCCCCTCAATTCCATTCAAACACTATGTTTACTGGGCATCGTCTGATTATTACTGTCTGGTTTGTACTCTGTGCTTCGTACTGTCGCCTCGTACGGCCTGTCGCGTGTGCCAGCGTGTTACTGTCTCGTTCATTGATCTAAGCCAAAGGAAACGCTTGCAAATTATTTGTATCTAATTGTTTTTTCATATATATAAACAGTAAATAAGTGATTGGTACGTGCGTTGTGAGCGTGGGGAGAGATTTTAATTGATGACTAAATGTATCATCACAACCCCAAACCGAAGCTCGATACAACAGATATTGACTCGTGTGTACAGCGCTATCCAGACATGTATGTTTCCACTCCTGTTTGTGTGTCTATGCACGTGGGCAACCGGCCGTGTCGTAGCTCGCAGCCACCCGACCGCGCGTGACCTCCTGCGCGACCTCCCGCGTGACCTCCTGCGCGTGACCTCCCGCGCGCCCACGACTCGTGACAACTTTCCAGCGCCGCCGCCTCACTCTCGCCGCTTCCCCCCTCGGCCCGCCCCTCCCCCGTAGGTGGTGGACGTGAAGGAGCGGCTGCGGCAGGCCAGGTCGTTCTGGGCGACGCTCCCCTTTGCCGTGTGCTCGGAGGAGCACGCCGCCGGCCTCGTCGACGACAAGTGCTGGAACGGACAGATGCGCGGGCGGTGAGCACCCCCCCCCCCCCCCCCCGCTCCGATCGCTCGTCCGCTCTGAACCAGTTGGAGATATCTGTTGGTGGGACACACTTCGTGTGCACCACACAGCTCAGCAATTGAAAGTGCACCGGAATCAAAGCGATGATGCGCGAGAGACTCCCGGTTGTTTAAAGATGGGAGCAGCGTCCCCGTTACCGCAAAGCTCGAGTTTTGAGTTCGGACGCACGCGGAGGCAGCCGGGAGTTTTACGGGAGAATAGAGCGGTGAAGCATTGCGGGTCGCGATTAGGAGCACGAGGAGACTGGTCGACCTGGGGGCAGATGGCGCCGTTCACGGAGGTCGGCTGTCGACTGTGCAACAGCTGCGGGCTCGGTGGTGGGGCGGTCGTGCCCCTGTTGTTGGCATTGACCCTGGCGACATGAACCGCTTTGGAAGAGGAGACAGATTGCTTTCTGGGGCAGGATTAAGGTCTGCCACTGTAGATGACGTCGCAGAACGAATTCTGACATCGCTTGTCCACGCGAGGTGACGCGGCCGTCTGTCCCTCTGAGTGTCGCACGGCCGTCCCACTGACATCTTAGATGATTGTGCTTGGACGGAGATGGTTCTGTGTGTGTCTGTGTGTGTCTGTGTGTGTATATGTGTGTCTGTGTGTGTCTGTGTGTGTATATGTGTGTCTGTGTGTGTCTGTGTGTGTGTCTGTGTGTGTTTGTGTGTGTCTGTGTGTATCTGTGTGTGTTTGTGTGTGTCTGTGTGTGTCTGTGTGTGTGTGTGTGTCTGTGTGTGTCTGTGTGTGTGTGTGTCTATGTGTGTCTGTGTGTATCTGCATGTATCTGTGTGTATCTGTGTGTGTCTGTGTGTTTTCAATCATTAGCGATGGGGCGGGAACCATCAACAATCAACTCACTCATCTTACCCACCCCCTCCCCGATATAAATTATGTAAAAAAGAAAAACCAAACATCCACACACACACACGGACTCCTAAATTGATTATCGCGCAAATAAATTATGAAATTGGGTAAAGTCTCTGTAGGCTTCACCTCCCCAGTGCGTTCAATACTCAGCCCCCCCCCGCGCCCCCCGCCCCCCGCCCCCTACACTAACTCCACGTCGCCCTCGCTCCACAACCCGCTGCTCGCTTGTTCCAGCCCGTTACCGCGGCGTGTAATTTCGAATGTGCCATTACAATTGATTCCCCAAAAGTTTTACGATCCAACGACCCCTTGGAAAATTGGAAAAATGTGTTTGGACGGGCCGATGGACGGCTGAGTGGGGGGGGGGGGGGTCAGGTGGGAGGAGAGGGGGTGGTGGGGATGTTGGAGGCGCGCTGTCTCGCAACGTTTATTTCTCCAATCGATACGGGGGGCGTCCGTCGTAATTGACTGAGTTTTCATGGGCTGGTTGTGCGTTTGCATGTTGTGCGTGTATACGTTGTGTGTGTGTGTCTGTGTGTGCATGTCTGTGGAGTGTAGCGGTCAGCGCACTGCGCTACGAACCCGTCGACCTGAGCTTGAGTCCCGCTCACGGCCAACGTCAGTGACGATTATCTGAACCGGTCCTGGGCCTCCCCTCGGTCGACTCAGCCTCAAATGAGTACCTGGTGCTGTGTGTAAACATCGCCACTAGGGAGACAAAGGCGGTCAGGTGTGGTGCTGGCCACCCACCTCCTTGTGTATTGTTCCGGTCTTCATAGGTGCTCGCTAACAGCACTTGCCCCAGCAGGCTGTTGAGGCTACACGGGGGATCTTTGTCTTTGCATGTGCATGTTTGCCGGCGTAATGACGCGTGTGTGCGTGCGTGCATGTGTGAGCGTGTGTGGACGTACGTGTGTGTCTGTGTGTGTGTTGGGGGAGGGGGAGTGCAAAGGTTAGTGCACTGCACTATGAGCCCAGCGAACTGATTTGATTACCGGCCAAGGCTTGCATCAGTTGCAAGTGGTATCAGTGCTGCTGTACTGGGCCTCCCCTAGGTCAACTCGACCTTCACTGATGAACCGGTTCAGCGTGTAAAATATAAGCACTGGGAAGATAAAGGTGGCCGGGCATGGTGCCACGTGCTAAGTGGACCTTAGTAAGTGCTCACAAACAGCACTCGCCCCAACAGTCGACAGGCTCTGTGGGCGGTGTTCGTGTGGTGTTCATTTTTTCGAGTGCATGATCACGTGCATGTGTACAAGCACGTGAGTGTGTGTGCGGGTATTGTCCATGTACTGTGGGGAGCGGTAGTGTAGCGGCTAGCGCGCTGCATGACGAACCCGGTGACGCGAGTTCGATTCCTGCTCATGGCCATCAACAACAGTGACGATTTATCTGAACCGGTCCTGGGCCTCGCCTAGGTAGACTCGGCCTCAAATGAGTACCTGGTGCGGTGTGTAAAAACATCGCCACTGGGGAGACAAAGGCGGTTGAGCGTGTTGCTAGTCACCCACCCCCTCGTGTGCCGTGTCGGTCATCATAGGTGCTCGCTAACAGCACTTGCCCCAACAGTCTGTTCAGACTATATGGGGAATCTTTGTCTTTTTTGTCCATGTACTGTGGGGGGGGGGGGGGGGACCAGTAGTGCAGAGGTTTAGCGCGTTACCGCGGTACGACCCGGGCGCTTCTTGCCGCGAGGAGCGAGCGTTACACCGCTGCGTGACCCCTGCCGCCCGCTGACAGCGTGATGCCCGCCGCGGTGTTTCCCCAGCTACCTGCCGGACGTGATGATGGACGGGCTGGCGAACCAGATCAACAACCCGGAGGTGGAGGTGGACATCACGAGGCCGTCGGCGCTGGTGCGGCAGCACATCATGGCGCTGCGCGTCGCGACCAACCGACTCAGGAACGCCTACAGCGGCAACGACGTCGACTTCCAGGACAACGGTGAGGCTCCGCCGTGTGGGTCCGTGGCGCCGTCGGCCACGCCACTCTCGCGCCTCGCCCGGCCCCTCTTGAGGAGCGGCGCTCGCCAACGAGTCCGGACGCCTCGCTGGACCTCTGTGGAGAAGAGCTTCACAGCTCATCGGATTCCTCCAATATAAATGTAAATTGTGATTCTGAGGCCCGCGGTGAGCTCCCTCGTGTTTCCTACAAATGATGTTCGGCGAGGCTATACGGGGGGGGGGGGGGAATCTTTGTCTGTCTGTGTGTGCGTAGCAAACAGCACTTGCTCCTACAGTCTGGTAAGGTTACACGTGGGATCTTTGTCTGAGTGTGCGTAGAGGTGCCTTAGTGGGGGAAGCGGTAGTGCAGTGGTTAGCGCGCGGCGCGATGAACCCGGTGACTCTGGCCAACATCAGTGATGTTTATCTGAAACTGTCCTGGGCCTGCCCTTGGTGCGGTGTGTAAACATCGCCACTGGGGAGACAAAAGCAGCCAGGCGTGGTGCTGGCTACCCACCCCCTCCACGTGCCATGCGCTCCTTCATCGGTGCTACCCGATAACGGCACTTGCCCCAAGAGCCTGTCAACGCGCCGTGGGGAATCTTCGTCTTTTTTGCGTGCGTAGGCGATGACAGCAGCGGCTCTGGAAGCGGCTGCATGGAGGAGCCATGCTCGCCAGACTTCGAGTCGTCGGGAACCGAGAGCCCGGGCTCTCAGAAGAATGTTCCTCGCCTCTCATCGTCATCGTCGTCATCGTCAGCGGCGGGAGCGGCGGCGACGATGGCGACGACCCTGTTGACGTTATCGCCGAGCGGCCGGCTTCTCGCGCTGCTCTTGCCGCCCGTGGCCGCCTGGCTCTGTGCAAGGGGATGAAGGAATAAGATATAAGGGTGCTGTGCGTGCATGCGCGCATGCGCATGTGTGTGTGCGTGTGCGCGTGGGTGCGTGTGGATTGTAAGTACAGGCAAGGTGGGTGTTTATATGTCTTGTAACATACATTGTTGCCAATTATGTATTGCCACTTTTCTTGATCAACAACATTAATAATGTCTTTATTCGCCCGGGAAAACGTCGCCGTGTCCCACGACTAGTTTTCAAGAGGGCCCTGCTTAGGATAATTGGCATATTCCTAATTTGAGCATCTTCCCGGCGAAACCAGAGTGCTTGGAGAAAACCCAGCATTCGAGGGGGTAGCATCGATTATTAGTTTCTAACAGAGACGTGGTTGCCACTGGTGATTGCGGATTAAAACTTAAAGTACGCGACGTAGAGTGAAACGGACGACACACACTGCTTGCTCCGGTCACGGAGCTTGCAGGTTCAAGACGTCGCAAATCATAATGGGCAGCATCTGGGGAATTGTAAAATGTAATATTTGCCACAATTGAACTCGATATGCAGGACAGAATGTACCCTCCAGTCAATTCCAAGCCATTTGAGACTGTGGTGCTCTCAAGCGGTGTGGGGAAATTGGGTCAAGAACAAGTTGGTATTTTAATAAAAAAGGCTCACTTTTTATAAACTGTATCATTATTTAGCTTACGCTATGCAGAGCTGTTGTGCCGTTTTAAAAGTTAATGTTTTAAGAGACCTTTACTTTAATCGGTCTCTTTTGTCGGTACGATGTCGTTTCATTGTGATTCCAAAAGTAATGTTATTGTGCTGTTGGCCTGGAAATGAACAAAAAGTATACAAGCAGGTGTATCACATGAGCTGTGGATATCGCGAATGTTGACCTGGAAATGAACAAAAAGTATACAAGCAGGTGTATCACATGAGCTGTGGATATCGCGAATGTTGACCTGGAAATGAACAAAAAGTATACAAGCAGGTGTATCACATGAGCTGTGGATATCGCGAATGTTGACCTGGAAATGAACAAAAAGTATACAAGCAGGTGTATCACATGAGCTGTGGATATCGCGAATGATCAGGTATAGACCAAGGAAACAAACAAAAACCCCCGAGGAAATGTCTGATCAATGTATAGTATTGTGTTTTCATGTTCGAACACCGAGTGCTTTGGCACGTGGGAGACATAAGCCCTGCAGATTTTTGTTTGTTACTTAAATATATGATGTGGAATCTTCGTTGTATGTTGCTCACTCGTAATGAGCAAGAGAAGTCGTTAAGCAAGAAGGAGTTCTGCTACCCATGTGAGGATGATTAAATAGGACGTCACGTGGTCATTGAAAATATTATTTTCATTTGGGAAAGAATGTTGGTATTACAATCTCTCAAACGCTATAAGACAGTGATCGCTCTTTTCAATTTGTTTGCATTTTGGACAAAACAGTTTTCCTATTTTAAATTGCGAATAATCAATACAAGTAGGTTTTTTTTTGTGACCCAATTTAGAACCAGCTCATGACTTCAATCTTAACGAGATCACGAATTGTAACTCTGCTCTTATACTTCCACACAGCATGTGCAGGCGAGAGAAGAACACATAACTGGAATGGGATTGCAGCGGCTTCATTTGAATTTATAAACGCCAGTTGGGATTTCAAAGACTTCTTCTTAGGCGAGCTTTCTATTCAAAGTTTAACACTATCATCATGCATTCAAAAGATATAATTCTTACCGTCATGGAATCCTTTCATCAAAGTGTCTCTCTGGTTAAGTGAACATGGGATGGCACGTGTTGACTCGAACAGCTAGTGGTGAGAAATTCCATCACTATGTCGGGGCTCGCCCTTTGATAGAACAACCACTGTCAACTTCCCACAGTGATACGCATTTTAATCATCCATAGAGGAAGTATGACCAATTAACTGTCCCAATCCACAACTGGGTTTGAAACTCACGACCTTGTGAGTTTAGCGCTCTAACCACACTGTGTAACTTGGCGGACACAAAATTTCGAAGAGACGAGCGATTTATGAACTCCAGAATTTGACGATTGTAAGCAAAAAATTCAGGGTAGTCTGTTAATAGCGATTCCCAGGCAAAATGGCGTGAGGCTGACGTCAGTGTGTAAATTTGCCATGTGGCTGTGTGGATGATTGATCTTAATGTTTTAATTGAGTATTTATAAGTGGGGCACAGTAATGTTTGTTGTTAGCAAGGCAGGCATGTTGATAACGAGTACCAGGGGCCTAATTTATGTCCCTGCTGAAAAGTTGTCTCTGCCAATGTTTTTCAGAAAAAAAAAACCCAAAAAGGTTTCCACAAACTTTGCCATTTTTCCACTGAAAATTGGTAGACGAAGTGGTTCCTATTGATCCACCAACACTGACACTGGGCCTTTGGTTAAATATAAGCATTAGTTATTGAGGTGCAGGTTTTTCTTTCTTTCATTTCATAATCTGAGACTAGTACAAGGGACTATTATACCAACAGCATTATACCAACAGCATTATAACAACAAAATGTCTGCCACCAAAATGCCCCTGTTGAAATATGTTTGCACCTTGCTGAACACGTGCTTGTAACTTAATATTTTTTTATTGATTACGATTTTTTTTATTGTCCCTACACAAATCACTTCCCCATTTAATCATTTCGTAAATTGTTAGTTTCTTAACACTCTATCTTATGAACACTGGCTGGGCATAATTAATGTGTCCTGACTGTCGCACTTATTACTGGCTTCTTAAAAACGTTATTTCTTTATATTTAACCAGGTGAGAGTGCATTGCTACAGCAATGCTTTTCGTAAGGAAAGACATAATATTCGAGGATATGTTTTTACATCACTGAAAGTCGGTGTTTTCTTTTCATATGGTGTTCGTTGGGGCCACGGCACCCATATAACATCGGCCAATTTTTGCAAATGAAACCACAGGGTGACTAACGTCCAGCCTCAAAGTGGACGGTGCACTTTGATACGAAAAAAAACCACACATATATATACCAACCTAGCAAACACACAGTATTTGGTCTCTTATGAGACCACCTGTGCTGGAGGACATGTGGAGAGTGAATGTGGGGATCACCACAGGGCAGCTGTTGTTTCGTATTGTTTAGACAAGCACAACGCAGAACATGCAGTTCCCGTTTTTTAAAACAAATATTTCTTTCGATTTTTTCGGAGCCCTGCATGAATTATAAATGTATCACAATAGCGAAAGAAACGTGCTTTGCAGAACAGAAAGTACATTGCAGAAGTCGCATTTGTAAATCAGACAAGTATTGGGAGAATTAATCTAGGGGTGTAGAGTGTGTGTTTGGAGTGTGTGTACGGGTTTGGATTAAGGTAGGCGTGACATTTATTCAGCTCTTTAGTCATACAACCATAAGGCAATATTTGGCTTCATAGGAATGAACGAAAAATGTAGAATGCACACAAATATAAGCAGCCTGTATTCAATGCCATTTATCTAATTGCATGAGAGCCGATTGAGAATCAATACCTATTTTACAACATTATATGATAATAATTACACATTTACCCAGGAGAGCCACACGTACCAGTCATTCTTAGCTATTACTGTACTTTGTTGTTATTGGCAGCGACTTAAATTAGAAAGGTTTGGGCTGCGACACTGACGCATAATGGTGAAAATCTTAAGATAATATAGCTAAATGTTGTGGATTCACTCTTCAAACACACCGGTGGGCTGAAGAAGTAACTAATTGGCGTTTTGTTAACGTGACACTTTTTTTACTGATTGGCCGTGTCGGGTGGTGGGGGGTTGCGACACATAAAGCGATCAAACCCAAAAACCTTGATTATGAATGATACAGCTGTACAAGATCTGTGTGCGACCTATAACCATGTGGCGGTGTGACCAAGGGCCAGCCCTCCGAGCTCAGTCCGAATGGCCGCATGTATAAGTGCTGCCTCGCCATTCGAGGTGCCCCCAGATAATTTTCACCCTGGCCTGAAAGAATTACTCGCAGGACAGTTTGACATCAGAATAAATGATGAATCTTGGGATGACAAGTCGCATTTCATGGGCCGCTTGTATAAAACACTTGAGGCACAATTCCCTTGTTGTCGAGAGTGTCTTCATCGAGAGGCACATTTCCGTGACATTTTCGTGACATGGGGAGCACTTTCATTGGAATGTCTCCACTCGCGACAATGGGGCAATCCGGCAGTGTGATGTGTTCGAGCCGTTTTGTCAAGTCGTGAATTTGGCCTCCTTGAAGTGAAAATTTCCCACGTCGTTTTAACAACATAAGTGCGAAAATATAACCAAGGCGTTTCATGCAACTTCTTGCCTTTCATATATATTGTACCAATTTATTTCTGAGATGCACACGATGCGTGTACACATATTCGGGTACACACAGATGCAACGATACCCGAGTCAGACTTGAACACACACTGGTACACGCCAATCAAGCACACGTGCGCAGCTCCAAATGAATGCCTCACATTTAATCTCATATAAGCGGCGAAGGAAATTCTTATTTTTATTTTCCTATGTTCGTGTGTGTAATGTTACGCATGTCCTTCGACATTAATGTATTTGCGGCATATAGATGGTATGACTTTTAAGAGTGTACCCAAGTAACATTTTATTATTAAATATTACTTGGGTACACTTTTAAAAGACACACCCTGTACACATAACATATTTTGTACCGTATAAATATATAATTATATGCTGTATAAAACCATATTTGTACACATATATAATTATGTATATATATATGTGTGAATACTTTATAACGTAGGCACATGCTGAGGCACACAGAACACTTTTTTAAACACGTCAAAGCCTAAGATTATGTAAGCATGTTAATGGTGTATTATGAGCTTATGTACATATTAACTTTGCATTAATTATAACATTAATATCTTAATTACGCCACTAGATATTTTCACCATGAATGCAGTCAACATGAATTTGCAGAATGACGAGACATATGACACGTTTCAATAGTGTAATTTAAACTCAGTTATGTAGATGAGTGCATTTTGTGAGTTGCACGTAAAATTGCATTTGCCGAAGCTGTATTCATGGTAAAAAATATATATTCTAATCAGTTGTATCTAAGGGAGTAAATACTATGGGTGAAACGAGGGTCTGGTTGAAATTCCATTATCACCAAAATAAGATACAGTACTTCATTATATTTCAAATTTCCACGAGTATGTACAGATGCCCTTCTCCTGTTAAGGACTCGGAACACGACGGCACATGCTGCCAATATTTGCATCCGGAAGTTTGTTTCCCTAATAGAGAGGAGATCAGCGGCGGCGGCAGCAGCAGCAGCAGACCACCACGTGTCCCCTCGCTGTAACGATCTCCGTGGTGGGCTGTAAAAAATACAGTGAATAGCACAACAAGGAATGCGTTGAAATCTAACACGCAAACCTAAAGGAGAATTCCGGGGAATGTGAGTATCCATGAGTAGTCAGTTATGGTTATGAAACTTTGGTTTCTTGAAACAATACAATTCCAGAACGCAAATGTGCCTTGGGAATTGGAAAAAAAACTGCAGCGTGCCACAGAGAAACGCATTAAGGATGCAACAGCATCCACCGTGCATGCATCATGTTTAATATAAGATTAGGGTCCTCATTCAAAATTTCAGTGCTCCTACCCTGGAGGAACCTCGTGTATTTTATATATATAGCAACACCCCAATCGTCCACTGAACAAGACACACCCACACACCACAGACGTTACGTCTCGGATTTATCAGTTAGGCGACCCTGACTGCTGTATTCTCTCCGCCGCTGAATTGGTTATTCCGCTCGATTAAGACGCTGACCCAAATATTAAAAATATCGAAATGGAAATGGTGTTGATAATCACAGCGGTAGCAACACACAAACGCGTTTTGTTTTTAAAACAAGACTAAGTGTAGAGAACAGGGCGCACACGGTGACATCAGACCCAGAAGGGCTTTTGACGCAGCAGTGCATGCGAGCTTCCCCCACGCTCCACTTCGCTGGAACCCGCTGTGCGTTTCTCACGACATTTCTGGCGATTCGGATTTCATCGTTAAACATCCATAAGTGGCTCGGTGGTCTGAAGTCAAAGATTGGCACAAGCCGACTCGTGGCCCAGTGTTCATTATGCTGGGCCTCACACCATCACTACCAGGGAAGGGCATGGGTGCTTTGGCTGTGCCTGTATACAAACCCTTAAATCGTACTGCCATTGGAAATTGTAACCGAAGTATATGACAAGTGCAATGATGTGTATTGCCGCGTGATAGTTTTACCTCCGCTCAGTAAAGCTTCACTGACGCCTCAAATTATTTGGAAAAGGGATAATTTAGTATCACCATTTGTGGTTGTACAATTTCTGCATTGGTACACGCAACTCTATTGCTGGCCCGCTAACAGATCCGTGAAATTAACCATCTGCTGTGGATATTAATAATTCCTTAAAATAACAGGCCATTAAAACAAGCTTTCTGCAGATCAGCAAAGTCAAATTCCACATACACTACACTTGTAGTTTAACATTGCTTTGATAACCTGGGAAAATTTGCAACACTGATCACAGCTAAACTTATCAGTTATTTTCATTTTTTACAAAACCTTACCAGAAAGCTGTACAACAATCTCTATGTACTTTGAAAGATGTAAACAAGAACCCACCACCATCAATGCTCGTGTCGCCACTACCACTACATTGTATCTGTCACCACCACTACCACCACGATTACCAAAAACATGTTAACAACCCACTAGGGTTGTTGAATTGTTATATTTTTCAAGACCAATAATCGCATGAAAAATGGTCAAAACTGTGACCGGTTTGCCGCACATATTGAAATGAATTACAACTTAAAATGTTTAACTCAGAAACGAAGGAAGCTGCCGTGACGTTACATTCCAGAGGTTGCTCGTTTGACGCCATGTCCCGGCACGGAAGTTTAAACAGGGATGCACATTCCTTAAATTCCTCCCTCCCCCACCGCCTCTGTCCCGGTCGCGTGTTGGTGGGGTAAAGTGTGGGTACTTTCACCTTTACCAATGTTTGGCCAGCAGGGCTGCACCTTTACCTCTTAAAAGAGAAACAAGGACACATGTACCACGCGGTGACTGCGGTCTGCTGCTGGTGCCGTGCGATTTGAGCTATTCCTGACTTTCGGAATCGGTAATCAATTCTTAAAACAATTACCGGTTAACTGATATATATCATTTAACAACCCCATCCACAAACAACCACGATCAAGGCCTCAAAGAACATGTCTTCATTGTGAATAAGAGTCTCGTGGACAGCACAGCCACCTGTGCACACTGTCACAAGGATGGCAACATTGCCACATTTAAGGGGAATCGCTTCAAAGCTGTGGTCAGGCAGTGGTAGACAGTATTTTAGAAGCAGGGATTATCTGGGATACTGGGAGTTGTCGGGCCATCAAACTACCAACAGTATTCTGCTGATACAAGCTGTGCCAAGTCTGCAGTGGCCGAATTCCAGGGCCGGCTTACTGACCAAATGGCTGGGTGCCCAGTCACCTGGACCAATTGTGGCTGATGGTGACTTGGGCTGCTAACATGGCACAGAAACTGTCATACGAAATGCAGCAGCCATATAAATTAGACAGATTTCAACGATATGAATTCAACTTGGCACAGCTACAGATTCTCGAGTGCCATTTCTCAGGCTTCTCCATCTGGACCATATTTAAATGTCTACCAGTGCAGTATTCACCATTCAAACGTCACATTGCTTGCTTGCTTGGTAAACATCACATGATGTACGATGGGGAGGAATGTGTTTATTAAAACGTTTATACAATCCTTTGGCTTCAGATTCTAGAACGGGGTTAGTGGTTTGTCTACTCTAATCCTCCCAATCCCCTTGATGCAGGTCAACTTTCCAAGTCTACCAATTAACAGACCCGCCGCAAAGACAGTTGCTTGTAAAGGCAGAAGAGAAACATTGACAGACGTGAAAACCAGGACTGTGGCCGAATAAAAAAAACAGGTTGGAATGTGTGCATCGCAATGCTGACACTGTATGCTGTGTGGCAGACAGTCCATAATAATCAAGCTTCATTTCCCGGAGAAGTACGCTGCCCAGCCCAGTCCAAGCAATGCAGAGTTGTCTGGATCATGTTTTGTGTCAGTGATACCAGGTGCCATTGACCCGACTTGAGATGAAAAATACGGAGTGGCACATTCTACATTCTTGAATCCAACTAATCCAGGTTGTTCATATTGGTGGAATGTTTTGTGTTATGCGTATAACAAGCCTCGTGTGTGTGTATGTTTGTGTCTAATCAATTAAAGAACTGTATAATATTATTATACCGTAATACTTAAGAATATACGTATTCACTACCCTTGATTAATGATGACATAGGTCCGCGCTTAATTGAAGGCTAGGGGAACACTGTATTTTTATTTATTTATATAATTTTTAAAGGTTAGGCATTTTGAACGTGACAATTATTTCGGTTTTCTAAGAAAGGCGGAGGGTATATTAATGCCTTTGAGCTGCAATTTGAAGCGTGATTCACAAATAAAAAAAACGTATTGCAAACAACAGGACTCTATAAAGTTCAGAAATCCTGACCTTTAAAACTAAAGCTGTACCGCAGGATTAAGTTAGCGGTGCTCATTTGTAGGCATTCCATGGTCAATGTATGACTGTAGATACTTTTTAAACAAACATACAAAAAAATGAAAAAATAAACTCTTCTGCTTAAATATTTGACTATCAAATGGCGTTTTTGTGTGCATGGCAGGCGTGTAGTGCAATTATGCGGTTGTGTTGTGATTCCATGTCTGAATTAATTTCTGAATGTTTTAAAAAGTAATTTTGAATAACTCAGCTTGATCGTGTAGCAATTAACTGTTTCCTGTCATATGAATTTGAAATTTACACATGTGGCCCAGCATCATATAACGTTCAAAAGAACACCTATCTCTCTTACGTCATATCTCTTACGTAATCTCTCTTAGCCCTAGGACAGATCAATTGCTCAATTCCCCTCCATCCCATTGGATCCCCTTCTCCACCTTGCTAGGTACTTGAGCCACAACTATGGGAGACTAGACGGACATTCTTTAGCAGTCATCGCCTTTTGAGCTAGAACGTATCTGCCATCTTAACAACGTAACATTCTAGGTCTGTCAATCCCTTTATTTATTTAAGCCTCCTTGTACATATTTTCCCTTCATGCTTACTAACAAGTGTATTATTGAATTCGGTAGTATTGTTTCAGTAGTATTGTTAGTACAGCAGGGGTGCGGTGAACTATTTACTATTCTTACTTTTTATTTGACCAGGTAAGGCCCAATGATATGTAGCTTTTTATCAGAAGCAACCTGGCCACAAATGACAGCTCAACGAAGTGGCTTATCACGTCGCAATTTATAGCAGCCAAGTACTCTAAACGCGTCTTGATTATGTGGAGGAAAAACCCAGAGGACCGGGATACATTTTCACGCGACCACGGGGAGAGAGACATGCAAACTCCAAATATACAGCAGCAGGCGTCAGGGTCGGGATGGAACCCACGACCTCCTGCGTACCAGGCGAGGGAGTTAACATCTCACCACAGAGAGAGAGACACGCAAACTCCAATTATACAGCAGCAGGCGTCAGGGTCGGGATGGAACCCACGACCTCCTTGACATCTCCTAGCCACCGTGCCAACCCAGTCCCGGGACCCCCTCTTCATCAACCTGCTCTGACCAACATGGTGAAATATGGTCAGACAACCCTTGAGACTGATATGGCGTGGGGACCACATCCATTGGCTATAAGCTGGGGTGTTTTCCCTTCCCATTAATAATCATTCTTAGGTAATAATTTTAACAAAGTGGGAGATATTTTAACACACGGCACAGACTGGAAGCTGGAGGTTTTAAAACACGTTTTCAACAAAGGTGAAAATACAACGTTTCAGTGTAGCGCATTGAGACAATCGATTGTGCCAACGTTAATTTAAAAGTTCGCATTTAAACAAATTATTTGCAAAGGAGACCACAGTCCTGTACCTTAAACATTGACGGATATACTCTCAAAGACACCAGTAAATGAAATTGACCAAACATCGCAACAGAAATCCACGAAAGCGCCTTTCCTACACACAGCGTGTGTATTTGCGCCTGCTGTTTTATTCACACACCTCTATTTGTAAAACATTTATTCACAAATAACGTTAAAAATTCGGCACACTAGACCCACCCCCATCAGGACCCTATTAATAATACATTCAAATACTACTGTGAAGATTCTAGATTTGAAGCTTTCGTGACTGCAAGGATTCATACTCTTAGGTTTTTTCGGTAATCATCAGGAGACGAAACGTCGTGATTTATTATTTTGTTTTCACTATTATTTCTATTATTTTATTATTATTTTTACCTACGTGACTTTACCGGAAAAACCTAAGAGTACTACTGTGAAGATTTAAAATCGCATTCTTTTGTAAGGCGCATTCCCGTTGTTTGATAAGCCACGGCTTGTGGAATTACCATCCCTCCTGATGAATAGTCGGGGGCTTTATTATATTATTTTATTTTTATTATTATTTCTAGTATTTTATTATTTAGTTCATTTTTATTATTACTCCTATTATTTTATTAGTTATTTTTATTTTTACCTACGTGACTTTACCGAAAAAACCTAAGGGTAATTAATAGTCGGGGGCTTAAACATCACAACATTCCATCTCTGGGCCATCTCTGTGGGGGCGGTCAGTGGCCCAATGCTTATGGACGAGCTTCTGCATTCACCGCTTCGACGATGATCAATCGATTTTGAAGTTATATATTCTTGATTCTTTCGGTAAAGTCACGTAGAAGGGAAATAATAGATATTTTTATTATTATTCTATTATCTCCCTTCCACGTGACTTTGTCGAAAGAACCAAGAATATGAATCCCCGCAGTCACGAAAGCTTTAAATAAAATATTTTGAAGTTGTTAGTGATAAACATAAAAACAAGAAATTCGCGCAAACGTACTCGTTTGTTATCGCACGCATTTCCCATACAACCCCCGCTGTTAAGATTTAAAATATATATCTCGCATCACATTTGTGGTGTTTTGTGTGGCCATTTACGGCTGAGCGGTGATTTTAAGTCTCCGTGGGCCATGAAACGTGAGCTGTTTGGCAGCATGAGCCGCTGTTTGGCGTGATAAGTTAAGTGTATTATTGTTTATTACTCGAGATGCTCGCACGCAGACGGCCACTTATTTTTGCTTCAGGGACAACAGCGGCGGCAGCGGTCGTTCACGGGACCGGTCGTTTGGAGGCGGCGGTCATTAACATTGGAACCGCACGAGGGATAAACTATAAACAATAAACCTCGCTGCGTGTTTGTAACTTTCCTGGCAACTATAACGGCGTGTTAGCTTTAAGCGGCGGCGCTTTGTGTGCTGTGGTTTATTTTTTTTCCCCTTCCAGCCGAACAATTCGATCGCCTCAGAGGACGCACGAAAACAATTGGGCGGGAACAGAAAGCGCCCCCCTCGCGGTGACGTCACCACCCGCGCCATCGCGCTTGTGACGTCACGAGGGGTGGGGTGTGTGTGCGAGCGTTAGTCGACACCGACTGGAATCGTTTCCATCGATCCGACCGGTGAAAAGTCAATAAGTGCATCTAGCTGCTCGTTCAACAAATCGAACATTTTCGATTCGTGCACACCCATTGCAAGCCAACGCTTCACGGGAAAACCCCGCCGGTCGATCGAAAAAAAATCCACACCCCAGTCGCGATAACCCAATCTCCCTGTTTGCTATAACTTGAGTCGATTCCACGATGTCTCAGCACGAAGAATCGAATTGCGACGCGGGCGTTTGAATTGTTACTCCGCCCCAAGCGGGAACGGCCGCGGGGGCGGGGTGACAGGCGGGGGTTGAGGGGGCGGGGGGTTGAGGGGGCGGGGGGTTGAGGGGGCGGGGGGTGTAGGAGGCGGGGCTTGAGGGGGGCGTGGCCTAGCAAATGGTGACGACAGTGGGGGGGGGGGGTTTACATTCTCTAGCGCGGATGCGCGGCGCGTCACGTGGGGCGCGTCGCCGCCTATGCACGCTGGGAATTGCAACGGGGGTCTCCGACGCTCGCACGGCGCCGCCCGGGCCGCGAGGGGGCGCGCGGTGTCGCCCGGGGTAACGGGCGGCTGTTTCCCGCCGACACTTAGACCGCCAGATGGCAGCTCAGGATAAAGCGTCCTCCTCTTGCGCTCGATTCGCCCCTTTTTTTCCTCGGTCGGCCCGCGAGTTGTTTTTTTTTGAAGGGAGAGTGAGCGAAAAGGCGCGCCGGTGAGTGAGAAGGCCCCTTCCCTTTTGCCGCGACGCTCTCGCCGCGCCGCGACGTTCGTTTATTGGTGACGCCCGGTCGCGTCCGCGTCGCCCAAGCCGCCGCGCTCGTCGGGGTTCGGGGGCGGCCGTTAGGCCAGGGCCAGGCTCGCGCGGAGCCTAGGCCCCGGGCAAGATGGCGGCGGGGGGATTAATTTATTATTTATTTCGCCGCGTGTATGTATATGTGTGTATGTATGTGTACGTGCGTGCGTACGTGTGTGTACACACGTGCGTACATGTGGGTGCATACGTGTACATGTCGGTACGTAGGTGTATGTGTTGTGTGCGTTTGTCTATGTTGGCATTGGGGTACGTGAGTTTGTGTACATGTGTGTACATGAGGGCAGAGGTGTGTATTTGTGTACGCACGTGTTTAGTATATGCACACGCGAATTGAGATATTCGTACGTGTTACAAAGTTGATGTGTGCGTTTACTGTATATCCCACCTTGTTTACACTACTGTATAAAGACAGTTTATACAGTGCGTTCTACAATCTATTATAGACTCGAAATAGGCTGAACTGCATATACTGTATGTACAATGGCTTAAGGCAGACGGGATGTTTGCAGTGTGCATTGTTTTACTTGTTAACTTTCGTCGCGTTTACAATCTTTTATTCGTGGTCGTGTTATTAGTGTTGTGCGTGAGGCTGTCGCTTGTATGTTGCCCGTAAAAGCGACACTTGGTGTGTAACTTGCAGTGTTTGTCACGATAACAAAAACGGAACCCGTTGTCTTGAGCGGGGGATGGGCAATTAAACCCACACCAAGTTCACTTCAAGCCCCGCGCCGGTTACGGCGTTCGCTAAATAAACACAAACGCGAAATCATCGATCGCTTGACAGTATATACAGCTAGTGGACCCAACTTAAACGAACATCGGGACAATTGTGACTTTAAAAAAATAGATGTTATTTCCCATCCCCCCCCCCGTTCTCTACACCACTCCCCTCCCACGTAGTACCGTGTGTGCGTACAAGCAACTGAGGTCATGTGTGAAACACGCCGCCCATCTTACCACTTGTACCCTCGGCTCGGTGATCTACGGCACAGAGCTCGAGAGGAACCTGGGAATGGTGCCCCCCCATCACACCCCCAATCTCCGCACCCCCCACCACCACCGCCGCGTTGTGAAGTCGTCGACCTTGTAGAGTCGAGATGATAATTTAACCACCGTCTCGATGTCTTTATACCCCCCCCCCTCTCTCTCCCCATCATCCACGTCTCTTTAAAATGCTCAAGAGCTGTGGCTGCTGTGGCTGTGACGGCCACTTGAGCCGATCTTAAAATGGCGGTCATTTGCTCGTCAGACCTGGCGACTGCGGCGTGCGCGGTGTGGTTCCGCACACACACGTGTCGGTGTACTCCTCGTTGGTCTAGCTATCACGGCGTTA